TCAGAGCGAACCATGCATGCGGTTCTGGAGATAAGAGAGCTGCGGTGCTCACGCGACAACCTGTAAGCTGGGGATAAGCGTCTGCACTGGGTGGTGACGACGACAGAGGCGTCGCGTAGGGCTGGTTTGGCTGCATGGGGGCGGCGACAAGCCTTTAGGGCCGCGCCATCCCGGGCCTCGGCGGGGCTTGATAGATTAACCGAACAGGTACCGGGGCGCAAAACTCTGACTAAGGCTGCTCCGATGCGTCCCGTCAACTACACCCAGCGCGGTAATGCACGACGCGCCCCTCGGTGATTTGGTCTGGCCGCACTGCAGCTTGGCTGCTCGAAGGGTCGTAGCAGGCGCGGCGTGACCGTGGCTTATCTTTGATCCAGGGTTTTGTGGAGTGCATTGCCGAACTTTGCGCCGCCCAATGATATGGGGGGTGAATGTGATTGCTTGGACATGGCTACCGTCTACCCCAGGATCCCAAAAGCCTCAGGGGGCACCGGGCACCGTGGGATGTTGCGCCATCATGGCGCGCTTGCCGAACAGCCGTGGTACTCCAGATTAGGAGCGAAGGGAGAATCCGTCGATCAAAGAGCGCAATTGTACTCGGGCAAGTTACTACAGTAAACACATCGGGTATTGGCTATTCGTGGACCCTCCGGCTCTTGGACAACGGACGGAACGGCATGCCACAGCCGTTGTCGGAAGCTACCTGAGGCCGCGGACTATGTGCACTACTACTCAACTACGCCGCCGTCTTGAGAAACTCATCCACTACATGCGGGTCCTTCTCGACTTCTTGGGCACCTCTGCTTCGCCTGCTCTCCCAAGTCTCACCCACGTGGGCGTCTTCCGCTGTCGACTCAGGCGTGAACGTAAACACGCGATGTTCACCTATAGTAGAGTTAGCTCATGCTGCAGACTAAATATAGAGATGTACCGACAATTCTTCCACGCTGTGCCCACCATGGGGTCTTCGACTTCCCAGTCCTCGGTGAGGAAGTGTGCAAATGCGCCATGGGTGACGACCAAGACCTGTTCCATTAGCAAACCGCTGTTAAGAGGAAACTAACGGCAGCTTTACCTGCGCTTCGGGCCTTTGGTACAGCCAGTTCCTGAGATCAGAAGCGCGCTTCGAGATGGCGCGCTTCTCGTACGCCCAATAGTCTTCCTGCGAGGCGTTAGTAAGCATGCATGCTGATGTCAAACCGGGAGATCGACTAACCTTGGAGTTCCAGCCCGCTGTCACCGCTGATGCATCAACTTTGCTGATGTCAAAATCGAGCTCACCCTCTGCGAACAGCTTCGGTAGGAATGCGTGGACGTCATCTGCTGTATCTGCAATTCCGACATCACATCCAATATTGCTGACTTCTTGCAAGGCTGGCAACAGCACGAACGGCACCTCTTTCCGCGCGAGCACAGGGCCAAAACTCAGTGACGCAGTCTGAATCGTTCGTCGTAGCGGCGACGCAAATACTATGTCTATTTCCTCATGATATTTGAACGCCGAGCTAAGCGTGCGACATTGTTCTTTGCCTTTTTCTGTCAGCACAGCATCGCGAATGCTGTAATTGCGCTGCGGCCAGTTAGTCTTATTGGATCCGAGGTTCTTCTTTATGATATGGGACATACGGTCGCGTTGTGTTCTCCTTGCGCATGGCGCACGATATGGATCTTGGGAGACATCGTGGTGTTGGTTGAGAGTTGCTGAATCTGCATTCTACGCTCGATGGTGGGGCTTGCCGAAGGAGCCACTAAAGTGCTATCGTGCAGTGGCGAATCTGAGATTGAAGCGTGAAAACTTGGTCTCACTGAATCTCCTCAGATACTTTCTGTGTTCAGTTCCAGCAGTGATATTGAATTTGGGTCTTGTCTTCTGCTGCGCAATAGCTCTGCGTTGTGTTCGTACTTGAATCCAAAGATACTTCGAGTCTGACACGGAAGGTTAGCCGAGACAGCCAGCGCTAACCATTCCTGGAAATGCATCTCGCAAGCAGCTTCTACATTGGAAGAACAGGTGTAGGACCGTGAATCCTTCGTCGGTAGTGAATATCCAGAACTGAAACCGATTAAGGCCTCCAGGCTAAACAATTGACATCTTCGACACATTGCCGATGATGCAACCGGCTAGTCCAGCTCTGCGGTCAGCCCCTGGCTTACTCCATGTCTCTTGCCATCACCAGCTCTTTCTCTCTTATCGTGTTATCGCAGCGCATGCGTATTACCGGAAGTGACTTTTCGGGAGTCATGAATACCTATTGATGAGTGAATGGTGCCCATACATGTAAGAGACTGGTTGGAGAGCGTGGAGCACAATCAAATAAAACTGCCGCAGCAAATAGGTCGAACATGTAGAGAACAAACCCGTTCGTGTTGAACTGCTGCCATTAGTATGCGCGATGTGTGCCGCTACTACTGACAAGCACGCGCGTGATGGATGGTGTTGAGTGTTAGAAGTGAGCTGTATTATTCGGAAGGAGCGATGACACTCGAGCTTTAGTTAGCGACTTTCCACGACCCATGTGCCACCATGCCTCTACGCCATCGCGACGTACTCTTTAAGCTGGCCTCAACCACTAAATTGCATTCTCGAGGCGATGCAATTGATGCGACATTCAATTACAACGCGTAAACCTTGTTCGCGACGGTCGTCCTTGCACCTGCCGCGACACTGAATACTCGCGACGTCGCGACGCGAACGCCGGTCTCCAAGCAAGCTTCGCGCATCCCGCATCGACTGCGATCATTGCCAAAGCCCAACCGGGGCTCCAGAATGTCACTTATCAAAGCAGCGCAACTTTGGACAGAATAGGGCTCATTCGCACGCGCCCGCTTTTGTGTTGATACGTCATGTTCGGAACGCGTTGTACCTGGGCATCGTGAGTTCCTTCCCGATCGCGCGAGCCAATGCACGTTTTCGGGCAAGCTGGGGCATCGGATCCGCAGAAGACCCCGCAACACTAGCGCAAGCAGTCTCATCTACCATCCAGGAAGCCTCACCATCATCCTGGACATCGTTAAAAGCTTTACGACTTTTGATCACTATTCGTTCAATATGGCAAGCAGTGAACCTACAGTCCTTATCATAGGCGCTGGCACCTTTGGCGCGTCTACCGCCTATCATTTGGGCAAACAATACAAAGATCCATCGCGGATTACTATCGTCGACCGTTGGGATAGCAATACATCCCTAAAGCAAAAGCAAGCGGCAGCCATCGACACCAATCGCATTATTCGTACCGACTACGAGTCACATCTTTACTGCAATCTCGCCAATGAAGCCATTCATTTTTGGTTCTGGAGCATAGCAGTACAAGGTCATTTCCACAAGACCGGTTGGGTCGTGCTAGACAAAAAGAATGGTACTTTTGGCGATGCGATAAGGAAGACGTTTGTTGAGAGAGGAGGTGACTACACGCGCGATCTAGAACCACAAGAGCTGGACAAGTACGCTGTAACGAAAGGCATCAAGAGTGAAGAATATGGAAAGGGTTATTTCAATCGCGAAGCCGGCTGGTGCGACGCGGAAAAAGCAACGCAAAGCTTCACGAAGGTTGCACTAGAGCTTGGGGTCAAGAGGGTGACTGGAGACGTGCAAGAGTTATTACTGAGCGCCGACCAACGTAGTCTAGCTGGTGTAAAGCTGAGAGATGGTCAAGTTTTGAAAGCCGACAAGATCGTTTTGGCAGCAGGAGCATGGACCAGCTCTTTGATGTCGCCGATCGAGGATGCTTTGAAGATTCAGGAACAAGACCGCATCGAGCGCCAAATCACCGCTGTAGGACGCGTCTCTGCATACTATACACTGAACGAACAAGACACACAGAGCATGATCGACGAAACAGTACCTGTGATTGTCATTGGTGGAGAGGTCGACATTATCCCGCCCTCGCAGCCAAACCGAACGCTTAAGATTAATGACATCAAAACTGAAGTCATCAACACGGTTACCACCCCTTCTGGCCATAAAATTACTATGCCATCTCGAAGGAACCAGAACGACATCCCTGAGAGACTGAAGCGTGAAAGCGCGCAGATCATGCACAACGCCATGCCGGAATGGACACGCAGCAAAAGACCAGACCGATGGCGAATTTGCTATGACGCTGTTACACCAACCGAAGACTGGCTGATGTGTCGACACCCTCATGAAAGGCTCGCCAACTTGTACCTCGCCGTTGGTGGTAGCTTTCATTCGTACAAGTAGGTTACTTTACCCTTCATTTCACGGACGCAATGCTAATCATCCCCTCAGATTCCTCCCCGTCGCCGGCGCATACATGTGCAACGTACTAAGCGGCAAGGGCAACGGTGAGGAGAAAGATACTGCCTGGAAGTGGAAGAGCGCCGAAGAACTGTCATGTCGCAAGGGTAAGGAGTTTGGTGAAAGCCCGAGGGACTGCGACAAGAAAGAGTTGAGTGAATACGAAGAGGGGGCAGCATCGAAGTTATGATCGTTAAGAAGCAATCACAATCAGGTTTTCTCAGCATCATACGTCGCAATCGACTGAGGCTTCGTGAACTCTACGCTATATAATATTGTTCATTCGCCATCATCAATGACAACAATTGAGTCCGTCGTCTTTCGGTCTCTTGATCTCTCCCATGCATACGAGGGTCGTACTGTTTTGGTATCACTGGTGATGCGATAGTCGTGAGTGCCTCGCCATATTTGCCATCTCTTGAACGCCTGTTTGCTTCGCTCGGGCTCCATTTGCCTTCGAAGGACAAGTAACTGCAGAAGGAATATTGATATAATGAAGCTTGGGTCGCTTCCATGCGGATCGCAGCCTTTCTTATTGACCTTAGTGAAAGGAGAATGAACGTCGCCTTAGTGGCGCAATCAGGTATAGAGCCCTCACGGCACATATATACGCAGCTACACTAGCATGGAAGTGTTCGCACTGTCACTCAACGGTAGCGCAGTCACCCAACTCGCGAGCTCACAAGACTACGTAATTCTTTCTCTAACGTGTCACATCATCTCCCAACGCACAGTTTAAGACATGTCTTCTACGGAACACACTGTCGCTAACAACGACAACCAAGCCAAAGAGAGCACCATCACCAAGCCTAGCGAGGGCACGTGTGGATCTGTACTCGACACCGACAACGACGTCGTCACCGTAGACGAACAGGTCGCCGAGGATCAAGAAATGGAAGACAGCTACGTGTTCGTCGAAGCTGACTACCATTCCTACACCGACGTGGAATCTTCCGTCGCCGAAGGCTCGGGCTCGGACTGTGGACTCTCAGAGCGTGAAGAGGAGGGCAATGCAGACTCCAAGAATGACGCTGAAATAATGGAAGAGCAGAACGGTGGTGTGAGGAGGGGATTTGTCAAGAAAACGACAGAGAAGAAGACTTCCGGTCCTGAACGTGATGGCGGCAAGAATGATGGAATAGATTTGCCAGATATTGTGAAAGTAAGTCAAAGTTCGACAACCAAGCATCAAGTTACTGATGAGAATAGACTATGGTGTCGCTATTCCTACGCTCGATCAACGGAACTGGTTTTGCAGGATTGAGCAGAGAATCGTTGCAGAGAAAGCCCGGCATGCGAAACGAATAGCAGATAAACGAGTTCAGGAGAAATGGGAGGCATGGGAGAGGCGTAGTCTAGCGTGCATTGTTTCTCGCTGGCTCCCTACAGTGGCGAGCACGGACTCAGGCACAACTTAACGTCATGGTCCAAAAGGGTAGTTCACGCAAGAGAAAGCTCAATCATATACTGCATATCGCATCATCTTGGCATTGAATCGCGCCTCATGCACTGACCTACTTTCTGTCATGTACCAAAGTGATGGCTGGCCTGGAGAGAGAATACTGGGCTCTCTACCACCCGTAGTAACTCAACCCCGCTAATACACACGAAGTTTGAAGACCGCTCATCAAAGGGGTAACCACCATGCCGCGCGCAGGGAAACCTCACATGAACGACGATGTTAAGAGCCAAGAAGACTTCACCCAGCTCGTCGACGGAAAGAAAGTCGTCGCCCTACCCAATGATACACTGCCGAGGCACCCTGATGGCAGCTACGTGTTCGTTCGTGACGAGACTGCTAAAACCATCGAAGTAAGCGTGCCACACAAGCGCCCTTCAAAGCTCAATCATGCATGCTAATGCTTTCGCGTAGGACAAAAGCGCGCAAGACATCATCGCCTACTACGCCAAAATCCTCGCCATCGAAACGAAATCCAAACCCCATCCAAGCCTAACATCGAATGCAATTATCGACGGCCTCGACACCCTACGCATCTGCTCCGAGATCTTCTCCGATAATCCTACTAGGCCTTCTTTTGTCGCGGAATACTTGCATATGCTAGAACCGCAACACCAGCTCAGTCTCTCCATCGTTCTTTCCATAATACTCGATACAGACGACTGGATGAACCTCGAGCGCCAAGTTGTCCGCGACGAAGAGTTCGAGATCTCGGTGGTGATCTGGGCGCTAAAGATCGGGCCCGAGGGTCTTATGCTGGGGAGGGTAGAGGGGAAAAGCGAGATGCAGATTTTGTTGGGGGCGGAGGAGGCGTGGATTGTGGTGAATGAGGGTAAAGTGGAGTATGAAGAGAAGAAGATGGAGTTGAGGCGGGTTGCTGCGGAGGTGACGATGTGGGGGAGGGGCGCGGCTGGGATGTTTGCTAAGAAGGGTCGGACTGAAGACGACGACTGAAGGGTCGATGAGACTTCCAGGCCAGGGCACACATGTGCTTCCTGGCACTGGTCATATTTGATATTTGGTCTTGGTGTTTCCCTCTGTCGGGGAAGCGTGTAGGGTCGAGTTTTATCTTTGTTTAGAAGTCAGCTTGCGTTAGAATAATTGCTGTAGCTTGTAGCCAATAAGGATATCCCCAAGCATATATTCTTCGAGTACGCTTGATGGCTTTCTTCCGCTGAAGCCTGAATGTCTGTACGAATGAATCCCTGATCTGGTCATTTGCGCATTGCGAGAGAGTGCGATGCAGACATTCACCGCACCCTTCTCCTTCTGGAAGAAAGCTCTCAGTCCATGGACCTCTTCCAGACCCACTTGTTGAATGACACTCCCTAGCTGAATTCTCCTCCTCTTGTGCTATATAGATCGTCAGACTCACAACTTCGCTGATTTGAAACCCACCACAACTTCTTTATAAAGTATAGTACCCGACAATTCACACTCGCGACGAACATGCCTGCTTCCAAGATTGCAGAGACTGCCGATAGTGTCAGTAGCAAGAGCTCCATAAACATTGCCGACGACATTGAAGACACGGACGACTTCGTCCTCGTATCCCCTGGCGACTACCCAGAGGCATCTGCAGCATCCTCTACTGCTGCGAAGGATGTCTGGACCGAGATCATCAAGATCACCCGGACTGAGGATAGTCTCTTCGAGAAGGTCAGCACTACCCTCCTTGGACATTGAAACCTTCCAACTGACATGATACAGGGCGAAAAGCACGTCACCGCCGTCGAGACCTGCCGGTACCACCTCCGCCCCGCCGAGTGCCGTAAGACCTGCAATAGCACATTCAAATGCGGCGCCTGCCTATCACTCATCGCCGGTCTTGAGACTCTTGCCAACTGCGCCTGGGAATGGTCCAACGACAGCAAGCCGTTCCAAGACAACATCAGCAATATCATGCATTGTCTGCACTGCCTGCCGTTTCATTTCCAGGAAGGCCTTTACAAGGTCATTGAAGCTGTAATGGACCACGAAGAGAACTGGCCCACGGCGGACCAGGAGAACTTTGAGCTGTGGGGGTTCAAGATATCGGCTGCTTTATGGTTACTTCGCCTGGGTGTTCACGGTTTGGCGTGGGCGCTGGAGGAGGGCAAGGAGTGGCGCCTTGTGCTGGCTGAGACCGAGCGGTCGTGGTATGAGGGACTTGTTGTTGCTGACGAATACGAGGAGGCTATTGAAGAAACGAAGCGCTTTACTAAGGCGTTCCGCAAGTGGGGTGCTAGCGTTGATGCTGAGCGGCGCGCTCAGTCTTCGGCTTAGTTCGAGGTGTGACGGTGACCATGCTACAAACAATGAGCGATCTTTACTCACATTATTGTACAAGCCGCGATTAGTAGCTTTCTAGTAGATTACAATGCTGCGCAATTAGAATCGTTTTCCATGAGCCTTCAAGACGATGCACAATGACATTGGACGGACTGGTTGATGTGACAAAATGTTGGATGGTTGATCATGGTGTATTTTGATTCACTACGCACCTATGATACCGTCTACTCCTTCACCTTGATGACAACCTTTCCAAAGTGACCTCCGCTGAAAAGGTACTTGATCGCTTGATCCGCCTCTTCGAACTTCCAAACACGGTCGACCACTGGTTTAATCTTCTTCTCGTCGTAGAACTTGAGCATTCTCTCGAGCTCAGTCCTAGGGCCGTTTACAATGCCCTTGAGTGTGACATTCCTCTTCAGGCACAGCAAGTTCGTGTTTGTCCTGTCGCCAGCCTCGTCTTGCTTGCCGGATAGGTAGCCAATGCAGGATATCAGACCACCAAAGCGTACGCACTCGAATGACTTGCGGAGCGTTTGCGCACCGCCGACTTCGATGATGATGTCAGCGCCTTCGTCGGAGGTAGCAGAAAGGACTGCGTTCTCCCAGTCGGGAGTGTTGCGGTAGTTGATGGTTGTCTTTGCGCCAAGCTTGGATGCGCGCTGGAGCTTCTCATCGGAGGAAGATGTGACGATGGCATCTGCGCCTGCTGCGGATGCAATCTGGGCTGCAGAGATGCTTACACCGCCGGTACCCTGGCACAGGATCTTTTCGCCCGGTCCGATGATCTCGCCATTTGGTCGCATACAGTTCAAGCTCATCCAAGCAGTTACAGCTGCGATTGGCAAGCAAGCCGCTTCGTCATCGGATAGATAAGCTGGAATCTTGACAACGCCATACGTGGGGAACACGCGGTACTGCGTCAACACGCCAGGGGCGGGTCCGCCTAGGCCACCCGCGATATCTGAGGCCTTGATTTGGCCGCTGAGATGCTTCGGCGCAAATGTACTGATGACCCGGTCGCCTTCCTTAAGCTGGAAAGCTGGGTTCTTGTAGGGGTCGGAAGTGTTGTTGGAGACTGGGCCAACCGCAACAACTACACCGCACATGTCGCTGCATGGGACAATAGCGGGGGGATGTTTTACGGACTTGTGGTGGTTGTAGAGGCCCATGGCGACTGTCCACGTATTTAGCGTTGTTCAAATGGCCGTCTGGACCCTGCCACAAAAGTAGGTGTGACCACATCCCACTCTACGTACCTTCGGTATCCCTGTAGTTCAGACTCACGGAATGGACTTCAACCAACACCTCGTCTTCGCCAGGAGCCGGGCAATCCGCCTCGCCCATCCTGAGCTTATCGAGCCCGTCCTGGCCCGTGAGCCATTGCTTGATCTTTTGTGGAGGCGTCATCTCGAGATCTCGAACTGAAAGTTGAAACAGAGTCGAAAGCTTTTGGGTTGCCAAATCCAAGGTTCACAGTTGACGTAGATGTCGTGTTCTTAACGTCCTTGGTTTTGCGCTGGGAAAACAGTCCAGAAATTTCGCTCAGCCAGTCTCGGCGGTCTTGGGAGAAGGGTGGGGTGGGCATCCCGGGCAGTATCGTCTACTTAAGGCCTGGATTTGCTATGTAAGCTGCAAGAAATGCAGATGGTGGATCTCGAGCAGCGGGCAGAAAACCGCCGAAAGGTGTGGGGATGGGCATTATTTCTATGTGTCGTTGCGATGACGATAGGGTGCTCACGGCTGGTCATCGAGGTGTTCGTGAGGAGCGACACCGCATTGGCCGTCTTCGCCCGATGAGCCGAGGTAGGCAGGGTGTTGTCGGAAAGCGCGAGCCGATGCCAGCCTACAACACCAAGACAGTTCTCACGAGATCCAGGAGCGCATGGAAGAAGCCACCGACAACTTCAATCTTCAATTCTTGCACATCGCGCACGGTGCTGTCTGCTAGGGTGAAACCTGGATCTTGCCAGATGATGCAGCATCCCTGATGACGCGCTACGATCGATCGACCCCGGAAAGCGGGAAGTCTCAGGGGTACCGTCTGGAACAAGGCCATGACGATGCTGGTGACCACTAGATCGGAACATAACATGCGATCGGGGAAAATGACATGCGATCGTTCCGGAACGTCTTATTTTATTATTGTATTGAAACTGCGCACGGCTCGTGGGGTTCAGGTACGATATTGGAGCTGCCACGCGACTTAGCGCGTGTGGGATGAGAAGAGAGCATGACGACATGCGATACTGTGATATAAACGCGACGCGACCCTCTGGAAAGAAGCCAGCATCTCATCCACTGCAACACATCGCATCAACATCCTCAACCTCTTCGACATCTTCGCCCCTTCATCAACATGAGGCCCCAACTACTCTACTCTGCGAGCCAGGAGGCCGTTCCTCCGCCACTCCAGAACTTCTTGAGCCCTGAGTTTGCGCCTGCTCTCACTGTGATGGAGCAGTTCGAAGCGGACCTTTTGCGCATGGACGAAGAGCATCTCCAGCATCGCGAGCGAGCTACACCCGAAGTTCCATCCCCATTCCCTGACGATGGACTACCAAGCGACTCCACTCTA